GCTCAGGCAATCCACTCACCTCAGCCTCCCAAAGGCGCGGGATTACAGGCTTGAACCACCAAGCCCGGCTCAAATGTTAACTTCTTAAGAAATGAGACTTGTCAGTACCATGGTGTTGTTAAGGTCAGTTCTAGTAAATCAAGAGGTAAAGTTCTGAAAACTGAAGACAGGGAATTGCTTTGATTTCCTAAGAAGAGATGCCTTATAAAGTCAAGGTACTTCATCAGTACTGGAAATGCTCAGAGAAGTTGTGATTTCTTTTTGCCTAAAACTTATTTTAATAGCAAGTTTCATTTATCTCTAGGTGGAGGAGACCTCAAGAGAAAGGGAGGAAAGGCTGAGAGGATGGGAGACTTTCCTCAATGCTCCAGAGGCCAACAGAGGCCTTCGGCGTTCAAATTCTGTTTGTGCTTCTGAAAGGGCAGGGCCTTCAAGAGTAAGGCACTTTTCAGAACACCCTAGCACGTCTAAAATGAATGCTCAAGAAGCTGCAACTGGAATGGCATTTGAAGAACCTATAGATGAGAAGAAGTTTGAAAAGACAGAAGACGGAGAAGAATTTGAAGATGGTTCTCAAAATGATGCTAACGAAGGTAGCCCGGAAAAAGAGGCTGAAGGTGGCTGCCCTGAAAATGAATCTAAAGAGGGCTGCTCCAAAAGAGAGTCTGAAGGAGACAGCCTCAAGAGAGAGAATGAAAAAGGCTACCCCGAAAATGAGTCTGAAGAGGGTAGTCCCAAAAAGGAGTTGAAAGAGAATGGCCCTGAAAGAGAGTCTAAAAAGAAGAGTCTCAAAAAGGATTATGAAGAGAATGGCCTTGCAAAAGATTCTGAAGAAGATGACCCCAACAAGGAGTCTGAAGAGGAGGATGGCTCCAAAAAGGAGTCTGAAGAGGATGACTCGGAGAGAGAATCAGACGAAGACTGCTCTGAAAAACAGTCTGAAGATGGCTCCGAAAAGGAATTAGAAGAAAATGGTCTCGAAAAAGATTTTGACGAGGATGGCTCTGAAAACATTCTTGACAAAGACTTAGAAGAAAATGACACTGAAAACTCAGAATTTGAAGACGATGGCTCTGAAAAAGTGTTAGACGATGAAGGCTCTGAGAGAGAGTTTGATGAAGATTCAGATGAAAAGGAAGAAGAAGAAGACACCTATGAAAAAGTATTTGATGACGAGTCTGATGAGAAAGAGGATGAAGAAGAAGGAGATCAAAAAGGGCTTGAAGATGCTGATGAAAAGGAGGAAGATGATGATGCAGATGGCAAGCTGTTTGAAGAATCGGGTGACAAGGAAGATGAAGTCGATGCAGATGGAAAGGATGATGAAGATGCAGATGAAAAGCTATTCGAAGACGATGATTTCAATGAGAAGTTGTTTGATGAGGAGGAGGATTCCAGTGAGAAGTTGTTTGATGATTCTGATGAGAGGGGGACTTTGGGTGGTTTTGAGAGTGTTAAGGAAGAAGGGCCCCTGTCCACAGGCAGCAGCTTTGTCCTCAGTAGTGATGATGATGATGATGATGATATTTAATCCCTTAAACCTGCTTTTTAGGGAGAGTCCTCCATCTACATTTGCCTATGCTTCAGGGTAATTGCTAATAGTGTTACATGAACATGTGCATAGTGGTAGGATGCCATCAGATTAATGCACTGAAGTTTTTTCATTGTTACCCGTACCTAATAATTTTAAAGATTTGTTGATTGGCCCTTCAGTTAGTGTCACAGTTATAATGCAAGTAAACTGGATACTTGTCCTTTCGTCAGATTTGTTAAATGCATGCAGAATAATATTTTTAAAAGTATTCTGATTGAAGTTTGTGATATTTAACAATAAAACAAGTTGATAATATGCAGAAACTGAAAATTGGACTTGAGTTCAGTTGTATCTTAAATTCTTGATATTGCTTTATTCATACTAAAGTTGGTTTGTCTAAGGACTTGAAGAATTCCTTAGCAGTCTCTTTGCTTTCAGCTCGTGTCACCATGTGTGTTCCCATTTTCCTTCTCTAAACCAGAGCATGTTCCTAAAGTCAAAGGAGATAAGTAACCCTCTGGAGTTTTTTCCTGCTGAGTCCTTGCAAGTTAACTTGTGTTTGTCTTCTACTCTCTTTCTATTAAAGTTGACTCTTAGATGTGCAAAAGTGAACTTCCTGTGGTTCACAGCTTCCTTCATTGAAAATACAGAGAAAGAGATTACAGCTCTACTGTATACTGTTAGCCTCTTTGGGTCCCTTTAGAAATTGATTAAAGTTTGAAGACCTTGTCCCAGAAAAAATGTACACACCCTACACAACTTCTTGTGTACAGTTTGGGGAGGTTCAGTTGATTGTTCCTTAGAATCATGGTACCTGATACTGTGTGAAGTTGTGTAATCCCAATAGAATTGTGGGTCTTTCTTGATTGTGCTTTCCAAATTAAGTATTGGTGAATTTACTTCTGTTGTAGCATTAAGAAGTTATTCTCATAAATTAGAAACATTAAAATAAAGTGCATTTACTGTTCTTTCATTATAGTGTCTGTCAGTGTAATCATTACTCTCTAGGCAAGAGTTCTTATATTTCAAACCTGTTTTTATTTTGAGAATTTTTTAGTTGATGTCTGCGATTTCTTAAAATCTTTAGGATTTTCACTACGGATAAGTCGGTAAATGAGGTAAAGTTACATTTAGAAAGATTGCAAACCAAAATAGCGTTCCCTTTAAAGGTAAGCCAGAAGCATTTAAACATGAATTTACTGGAAACATGGTTTGCTAAAGAAAAGAATGCTTTACCTTCCATACACAGGGGTTGAGACATGTAACTCTACAACATAAATTGGCTCTGAGACCATTAGGAGGGGGCTGTTTCATTGTTTACATTAAAATATATAATTTAGGAAATCCAGAATCTGTCAAAAGAAGATAATTTACATCTAGTCTGTTGTTTTAGATAGTAACCATTGCCTAGTTAAGACTCCTTACCATCATTTCGGATGGAAAATGCATTAAGAATGTAAACTTACACTATCGGGGCTGCATTGTCTAAAACAACAAAGCATTGCCAACTCTGGCAGGTTACCATCTCCTGTGTGAACATGCACATGTGTGTGCGCACGTGTGTATTATGGATTTCAGCTGTGGGATGCTGTCCTCCACCCACCCAATATTCTTACCTCTTTTCTCCTGCTCTTTAAAGTTGGTTGATATATACTCTGTCTTTTCATATAAGCACACTGGAAGTGAAAGCCACAAACAGCTGTAAAATGGTAAATAATTTATGAGGTGATATAAATAACAAATTAACAAAGCCACAAAGCACACACTTATAGACATCTGTTTACTAAGTAATCAGGTTTTATTGGTCCTGAAATGGAATTTATTGTGGGGCAAGAATACATCCTATTACCAAAAGAAACAAACATTGGGGGAGGGGGAATGAATCTTAAGCACAATGTTCCAATTACCTGACAGAATTTCTAAGTTTTACGGTCTTTTAAGATTACATAATTTACACAAAGTATTAAATAATGCCTTCAGTCCTAAATGCATAAACCAGACAGGTGACTCCAAGCATGCCTTTGAATGGCATGTATGCCTTGTTCTCTGAGTCTACCAGTACCTTGTACAAGAACAAACTTGAAACTTCATGGTAGGGGATAAAAATATTACTGGTCTTGGCAATAATAGTGAAATATTGAAATCGTTACTGCTCTCTACAAAAGACACCTGATAAGGGCAAAACTTGGAGCAACGCATTCCAAGTATCTGGTTTCCTTTCCATCCTTCTCTAGTAATAATTCTTGCCTCTTTCTGAAGCCCTGGGGAGTCCAGTCCATTGAGAAACCACTACCTCTTCGTTTTCGGAGAACAATCTATTTCCCTGATGTAAATTACATGGTCATTTCTGAGGCTTGAAGAAAAGGTAGGAATTAGCTTAATGTTCTGATTATGCCTTTCTCAATAAAAAATTACTGATTCTTAAAAAGTAAACCAAACATTTCCATGTAATGCAGTGAAGTGCTCTTAATTAGTTTGAACAAAAGTATGGCTTGGGGAACAACAGTGGAGGGTTGTAAATTTGCCCTTTGTGAATATTTATCAATATTCTTATAAATTATTTTTTCCTTATTGCATCTGTCATACACAAGCAGCATGCATTTTTTGTTTTGGGGGAGGGGTTTGGACAGTCACGTGAATCCATTTAAAATCAAGTTGCTCAGATGATTTTTTTTTTCTTGAGTTGGAGTCTCACTCCACCACCCAGGCAGGAGGGCAGTGGCATGCTCACAGTCTATCCTCCCACCTCAGCCTTCCAAGTAGCCAGAACTACAGGCGCACATTACCACACCTGGCTTGTTTTTGATTTATTGTAGAGACGAGGGCTCATCATATTGTCCAGGCTGGTTTCGAACCCGCAGGCTCCCAAAGTGCTGTGATTACAGGCTTGAGCCACTGCCACCGTGCCAGCCAATGATTTTTGCCACTTACCATACCTCATGTATATGAGAGGCTGTGTTCGTATCTTCCTAAGTAAAATACTTTCCTGGTGGAAGAAAAACATTAAAATTATTCCTTTCTAAAATAACAAATGTGATACTGCAAATAGTCTAAAATCTTGGACACCAGTTATCACAGGGAACAATTGCTTGAGAAAAAGACTTCATAATATAAAGTTGACTTTTAGCTGTTCAGAGTCCTGTAGGTTTGTTTTACTTTTTGTTTGAAACCAAGAAGATACTGCCACTATGTATGCCAGATGCGTTACACTTAAATAGCATAAACAGGTTGGCTTGTGTTTACATTTCAGTTGTCTGTGAAACGTCAAGGCTGTGCTATTAAAATGCACTGGTCATTCCAGTCTAGATAAAGAAAGCTAGGCCAGCAGCAGAGCACAAAGGTGGCTTTTTCGCTGCCAGTGTTGTACTTTTTGCACCACTTCTTAATGTTTCTGCTTAAATAGTAGTGATAGTATTAGAGGAGTCAAGCTCTAAGAATAAAACATCTTTTGATTTGCCATTTTCCAGATTTATCATAGAGATAGACTTAATGATAAATCTGCAACATCTTAGTGTAAGAATTTCTAGACTCAACTTTATGTTTGACCTTAAAACCTGAAAATGTGATTATCTTGACCTCTTTTTTCTTAAAGAACTAAAAAACAGCATAAGGTTTGGTGTTTAGGCAATTCTTAGGAAATTAGAAATTAGGTTAATGAAAGTGTGCACAGCATGCCAAGGCTTTCGATGTTACCTTTTACTAGGAACATACTGATTATCATATTGCAACACTAGTAGTGTTAGATGATTGATTTAGTGTATTTGCACTCACTAATAGCATCAACTTAGAATAGTTGGGCTCAGTCAATTGCAAGTATTATTGGGCTAGTGTGTGCCCAGGAAGATGCTAGATAAAGTGGAGCAGTGAGGAAGAAAGGCAGCATTGGGCATGGATTCTCCCAAATGGCAGTTGTAGTCTCTAGACAGGGACAGGGCAGTTAAAACAACAAGGTAGTGATCCAGCCATACCACTTTTAAAGCCTACAACAGTGCCTGGTACATAGTAGGGGCTCAATAAATATTTCTTAAGGGAATTAATTTATCCTATGAATACACTTACACATGCCCACCCATTCATTTGAAGAAATTCATTGACCACTACCTCATCATCATTCTTGCCAATTTCAAAATCAAAGTAAATGATCCTGTTCTTCTCCCAGTCTTTCCACCTCAGCAGACCAACTGTTCAAACCAAAAGGATAGAAATCATCTTTGATTTCTCGATCTCTATTCCCACATCAAATCCCTGCTGGCTCTAACTCCAAATATACCCCAAATCTGACTATTTCTCCCCATCCCCACTCTCATCATGCTAGTGCAAACCTCCATCATCTCTCACCTGCCTGTCTGAAAAAATAAAATCTCCAAGCTGTATTCCCTGCTTGCACTCTTGTCCTCTTCCAAGTAATTTTTTTACACAACAGCCAGGGGAATTAAAAAAAAATTATTGTTCCAAATGTCTTGATGGCTTTCTATTTAAATGCTTCAGTAGTATTTTAAATAAAAACTTCTTCCTGTGGTTTGCCCACAAGGCTCTACCTGATCTTGCCCCTACCTGCCTCTCCAGACTCATCTCAGAACTCTCCCTAGTCCACCACTCTTCAGTCACACAGGCTTTATTTCATTCTCTCATACCTACCTCAGGACCTTTGCACATGCTTCCACCTTGGATGCTCTTTTCTCAGCCAAGCTGAATCTTCCTTGTCTTTAAGACTGCTTACGTATATCACCTACTTAGAAATCTAGACCATCCAAATACCATAACCTGCCCTCCTGCTCACCCTAATCTCCCTTGATGCTGTTACTATTGAACATTCTTCAGAGCAATTTTCAGATTATCTTGTTTGTTTACTTGTCTTCTCGCTACTCCTCCCACCACCCTAGCAGCATGCAAATCCTAACAACCAGGGCTTTGACCTGGTCTACTGTATTTCCAGTGCCTAGAACAGTGACTGGCATATAAGCGACAACCAAATTTTTTTCAGGGTTGAGAAGAATCATCCTGAAAGTGTTGCATTCTGTTAGGAACTTCACGTTTTTAGAAAAACATGAAGAACTTTCAGTAGGTCAAGGAAAGGGGAGCAGTAACCGTTATTTGCAATATAAACCCAATGAGATAAGATTTTTACAACACAAGGTCCACGGATAGAGTTTATCCCTATTTGGGGACAAAAAAACTTGATTCTTAACAGTTTTAAAATATTCCTTTTCTTCATCTTCACAGGGAACTAAATTTGAATGATAGAAAAAGGCCTTGGTGAGCTATATTAAACTTTTTGATGGCTAATCACTAGGGCCTCTCAGTGAAGAAAACTCTTTTCTGGAAATCTACTAAATATAAAACGTCTTTCTTAAGTGAAGTATGTGAGATTTCCTTTAGAAAACCCCTTGGCTTGATTTCTAAAATGATTTGATTCTCTGACTTCCCTATACGTTTCTTCCTTGGCACTTTATTCTTTCTATCTGTTCTGTAGACAACCAGAAGTTGTACCAAAATCGTGTCTTTACAAACTTGTTTGGATTCCTTTCAGCCTGACTTGAACTATTAGAAAAGTGTCTATATGAGGAAATGAGAGCCCAATTCAAATGCAAATGCTGTATTACTGCAGGAGAGTGCGGATTTGGGCCAGTTGGCAATAAGACTACAGTGTATTTTATATATTTACAATATTTCTGTTACAAACTTAGTCTTCTCAATGCCAAGATACAAGTTTAGTTCCACTTGGATATTGAGGTCACCAAGAATAATGACAGGCTAATGGTGAAGTCAGCAAATCATTTCTAGTGAATGGGTAGGAGTATACAGGCCTGCAAATCTCAGAACCTTTACCTTTTTATATCTTAGTCCCATGCAATTGGGATTTTGCTTATAAATCTTTCAGAAGTGCTAGTTAGACTGTTCATTCTTTCAATGAATGCAGACTATGGGCCAGACATTGTTCTAAGTCTGGGGATATAAAAATTAATAAGGGGG